TTAACTAATTTTCCTTCATTTCCACTCCGTCACTGGTTTGCTATGCAGCTTAATGTCTCAGCATCTCTTTGTGCCCCACTGTTTTGTAGGTGAAACAGCTGAGCCCGCGAAGAACTCCCAGCTGTATCCTATGTACGTGGTGGTGGCCGCGCTGGTCTTGCTTGCTTTCATTGGAGTGGGAGTACTGGTGTCTCGGAAGCGGCGCAGGGAGCATGGGCAGCTTTGGTTCCCTGAAGGCTTCAAAGTGACAGAGTCGAGCAAGAAGAAGCGACGAGAACCGCTCGGGGAGGATTCAGTTGGACTGAAGTGAGTAATTTGCTCGCTAACCCGTTAAGCGCAGCGCAGCGGGGCTGCTCGGGGCTCTTCTGAAAGAACCCCTCGGAGTTCTGGTCTCTGGTACATCACATTGGCGTAGCGGGGAGGAGAAAAATCAGGTTTCTTAAAGTTCTGCATGGGGAAAACAGTGTTCTCTTCCAGAGAAGGTTTTTAAATGCTTCGCAGTCCATTTGTACTCGGTAAAAAATGAAGGGCAACCTGAGGGGAAATTGCCTTTATGATTCTTCTGTCAGTTTGTGCATGTAGATAACACAGTCTGTCACAGACTGGTTCCTACAGAGGAGCTAATTTTTTGTATGGTTTTATTTTTCAAGACCCCTCAAAAATGCTTCAGACGGCACGCTGATGGATGACAACCAAAATGAGTGGGGCGATGAGGAGACCTTGGACACCAAGAAGTTCAGGGTAAGCTCACTGCCACGTCCCCTTCCTGTGCTGTGAGTAGTCACTGGCTGGGTTTTGTGGTGGAAAGGAGCAGAGCTCTGCGGGGAGCAGCAGAGCGGGGGGACCCTCGGGGGTGCATCGCTGCCGCCGGCTCCGCAGCCAACCCGTGTGTGACAAACACACCTCTGAGCCTGGCAGAGCTTCCCAGGTGAAAAGAAGCTCCCACCCCTGGCTCCTGTGCTGATTTCTTGCTGTCATTGCTCAGTTTGAGGAGCAGGCGATGCTGCCCGACACGGATGACCAGACAGACCACAGGCAGTGGACCCAGCAGCACCTGGATGCCGCTGACCTGCGCATCTCCTCCATGGCACCCACCCCACCCCAGGGGGAAATCGATGCTGACTGTATGGATGTCAACGTCAGAGGTCCTGGTAAGGTGGACTCCTTTCACTTCTGTGCTGCTCGGCAGCTAATCTAAAATCCTCCCTGAGCCCTGGCAGATGAGCAGCCCCAGACACCCTGACCTGTCTCCATTTCTCACAGAGTGGCTGCCATCCCTTCTGCATCGCATGGTTGCTGCCGTGCGTGATTTAGAGATAGACCCTCTCACATTTTGCTTTCCATGAGATCCCTTTTGTTAAATCACCGAGATGGAAATCAGAGAATACAGAAGAAGTACCTATTAAATCATCCAGTTTATCTCCCTGCCCCTCCTAGATTCCTCTCCCCACACCAAACTGTACATTTCACAATCCTCCTTTCAGGGTTTTAACTGTAATAATAGTTAATAGGCTTTTAAATTATTACAAACATTTGGTCGTCCCCACATCTGTGAAATTGCCCTCTGAACTAAGAAAAATATTTAAGGCTGCGCTGTAGTTTGTAGCACTCAAATTTGCTTTGAGCAACCTTCCTTATAAGTGGTACTTTACATGTCAGCATGCGAGCTCACGGATGAAATAGGAAAAGCAGTGAGCGGTGAGATACCACTGAGGAATTTCAGATCCATATCAGAGGAAGGATATTCCTGTTTGATGTTTAGAACCAGCCAGGAACTCGGCCTCGATGCGCCCAGGAGAATAAGCATCTATCGCAGACAGAGCATCTCGCTGAGCCACCTGCCTTACAGAAGGGTAAAAAAGCCTTTTCTCACCGAGCCCCCCTGTGCTTTTCAGATGGCTTCACCCCCCTCATGATCGCCTCGTGCAGCGGAGGAGGGCTGGAGACCGGCAACAGCGAAGAGGAAGACGATGCTCCCGCCGTCATCTCCGATTTCATTTACCAAGGCGCCAGTTTACACAACCAGACGGACCGCACCGGCGAGACGGCGCTTCACCTGGCAGCCAGGTACTCCCGCTCCGACGCGGCCAAGCGCCTGCTGGAAGCCAGCGCCGACGCGAACATCCAGGATAACATGGGCAGGACCCCCCTCCACGCCGCCGTCTCTGCCGATGCCCAAGGAGTCTTCCAGGTAATCCATCCTTTCGGGGATCTCGGGGTTTTCTAGGGAAAGCACTGGTGGCTTCACGTGGAGGTGGTCACACAACTGGGCTCGTCGCAGGGTCTCCAGCTCGTCCTGGTGAGGTGTGGGGTGGAAGTCTCCCAAACTGGAGCCCTCTTGTCTCAGGGTGGGGGCACTGCGAAGCAGCAACCCTGTAGCTGCTCTGGACTGGGAGCAGGGACTGGGGCAGGGACTGAAGGACAAAAAAAAATACCTAAACATGGAAAAACTATTAAATATTGAGAAAAACATTGCAAAATATAAAATAAATAAAAAAAGGAAAGGAAACTTTGAAGCTTATGTACAGAGCAACGTCAGGACTACAGTTGGACAAGATGATCTTTAAGGTCTCTTCCAACCTAGAAGATTCTGTGATTCTGTGACTAGCAAAACAAGGGCTACTCCTAGATTACTGATTGATTTAAAATTTTAAAAAAAATAGTAAAATAAAAAATACAAATTAATGTTTTATAAACCCAGGGGGGGGAAAGAATTTTCAGCACAGTACGAAAATGTAAAGCATTCCTTTCTTTAGGGACCAGTGTCTGGAAAGGGGTTGGCAGGTCCTGAGACCTGGGTACCCGGCGTGGCTGCTGCCTGTCCCTCTTCTAACTGTGGTGTTTTCCTCCACGTTCTCCTCACAGATCCTGATCAGGAACAGGGCAACCGATCTCGACGCCCGAATGCATGACGGGACCACTCCTCTGATCTTGGCCGCTCGCTTGGCTGTGGAGGGCATGTTGGACGATCTCATCAACTGCCATGCAGACGTCAATGCCGTGGATGACCTAGGTACTGCGGGCTCCCTCGGGTGGAAAGGGCTCTTTGCTGTTCTTCTTACCCCTCACTAACGCCTCTTGTATCTCGTGGTCCTCCTCTGTAGGCAAGTCAGCACTGCACTGGGCAGCTGCTGTGAATAACGTTGAAGCCGCGGTCGTCCTCCTGAAGAACGGTGCCAATAAGGACATGCAGAACAATAAGGTAGGGGTCTCCTGGGCTGACGTAGCCAAGGAAAGAATCACTCAGGGAGTCTGTTAAAGGGTAATTTTTGCCTAAAATACAACACCGGCTGGCACCGAGACTCAGATTTGATTGTTCTGCTGTGAATGAAGCTGTTGGAGTTAGCTCAAAGAGGCATTGTGGGATTTGTTTCTCCGGGTGATGGTGAGGGGCCGTGCAGTGGTTGGTGAGCAGTGATCGTGTGGCCATCTCCTCACATGTTCTGGGTCACTCGTAGGGTTCCTGGTTTGATGTAAGTACCAAGACCTGGCTCAGCAGGGTAGGAAAAAGCAGCAGCAAAACCTCACCAGGGTTCTCCAGACCCAGGAGAGACAATTATGATCTGTGCCACCCAACTGCCTGGTGTTGGGCATGGAGCTCGGGATAGTGTTAGCCAGGAGAATCTGTGAACTTAACCCTAACCATCTTTGCTGGCTTTCCAGGAGGAGACCCCACTGTTCCTGGCAGCCAGAGAAGGGAGCTACGAAACTGCCAAGGTCCTGCTGGACCATTTTGCCAACCGCGACATCACGGACCACATGGACCGGCTCCCGCGGGACATCGCCCAGGAGCGCATGCACCACGACATCGTCAGGCTGCTGGACGAGTACAACCTGGTGCGGAGCCCACCGCTGCACAACGGCCCTCTGGGGGCACCCACCCTGTCCCCACCGCTCTGCTCTCCCAACAGCTACATCGGCAACCTGAAACCTGCCGTCCAGGGCAAGAAAGCCAGGAAGCCCAGTACCAAGGGCCTGAGCTGCAACGGCAAAGATGCCAAAGATCTCAAAGCCCGGCGGAAAAAATCCCAAGATGGGAAGGGTTGTCTGCTCGACAACTCCAGCGTGTTGTCTCCGGTGGATTCCCTGGAGTCGCCCCATGGGTACCTGTCGGATGTTGCCTCTCCTCCGCTGATGACCTCTCCGTTTCAGCAGTCCCCTTCCATGCCTCTGAATCACCTGCCGGGCATGCCTGATGCCCACATGAGCATCAACCACCTCAACATGGCGGGTAAGCAGGATATGGCCATGGGAAACTCCAGCAGGATGGCCTTCGATTCGGTGCCGCCGCGTCTCTCTCACCTCCCCGTCTCCAGCCCCAGCACGGTGATGAGCAACGCCCCCATGAATTTCTCCGTGGGCGGAGCGGCCGGTCTGAACGGGCAGTGCGACTGGCTCACCAGGCTGCAGAACGGCATGGTCCAGAACCAGTACAACCCCCTGAGAGGCAACATGCAGCCCGGGGCCCACCAGCAGCCTCAAAACCTTCAACACGGCATGATGACCTCCCTGCACAACGGCTTGCCCACCACAAGCTTGTCGCAGATGATGAGCTACCAGGCCATGCCCAGCACCCGGCTGGCTTCCCAGCCTCACCTGATGCCGAGCCAGCAGCTCCAGCAGATGCAGCAGCAGCAGCTCCAGCAGCAGAACATGCAGCCCCAGCAGCAGGCGCAGCCACCCCAGCAGCAGCAGGCGCAGCAGCAGGCGCAGCAGCATCACAACCCCAGCTCCAACGCCAGCGGCCACATGGGCCAAAATTTCCTCGGTACGGAGCTGAGCCAGCCCGACATGCAGCCGGTGAGCAGCAGCACCATGGCGGTCCACACCATCCTGCCTCAAGATTCCCAGATGCTGCCCACCTCCCTGCCATCCTCCCTCGCCCAGCCCATGACCACCACCCAGTTCCTAACTCCACCTTCCCAGCACAGTTATTCCTCCCCCTTGGACAACACCCCCAGCCACCAGCTCCAGGTGCCCGACCACCCTTTCCTAACGCCGTCTCCGGAGTCGCCGGACCAGTGGTCCAGCTCCTCTCCTCACTCCAACGTGTCCGACTGGTCCGAGGGCATCTCCAGCCCTCCCACCAGTATGCAGTCACAGATGGGACACATCCCCGAAGCCTTCAAGTAAAAGACGGTGTTTCAGAGACGCTGGCGCCCAGCGGGAGTTAGAAGCTCGAGGGAGTTGTTTTTTTTTTTAAAAAAGGACATTGGATGCTTTTATTAAAGGATCCTTTTTAAATATGTTTTTATAAAAAAAAAAAAAAAGACAAATTAATTCCTTTTTTTTTTTTAGTATTTATTTATGTACTTTTTATTTTACATGAAAACACTGCCTTTTTATTTATATGTTCTATTGTTAAGAACTCAATGTGGGACACCAGTTGTGTTTCAAGAAATCAAAAAATTAGGTTTTTATAGGACATTCTTTTTTGTTTGGGGGGGGTTCATTGTGTTTGAATTGAGAGGAAATGTTTATGTAAAGCTATAAGCAGCAATTTGTGATTCTGAAATGCCATTAATTTATTTTTTTCTCTTTCAATTCAGAAAGAGAGGTGATAAAGAAAAGAGGAGGGAAAAATTGACTAAAAAAACTACTCCTTGGGGAGGGGAAATTAAGTGTGGATGGATTTTTGAAATGTACTTTAAAATGTTTCCTTTGCTGTTCTATCTGAGAGGACATTTTATGGTACCAGTCATAAATCTTTGTTTAAATTTCAGTATTATATAGTTGTACATTTGCCTTGATAATAGAAATTTTTTGTTCTCTCTTGGTTTTATATATATAAGAATATATATATTTAAATGATTTTTATGATCTAAAGAAAAGAAAAAAAATCAGGATTATAGACCTGTAAGAACAGGTTCTAAGGTAAAAAGAAAAAAAACCCCTACAAAACATGAATACCGTCCCCCACCAAAAAGAAATGTATTTGCCAAACTTTATAAGAGAGCAAGCCCATAACTCTGGAGTATATACCAAACCCATAACTGTGGAGTTTATACACAAAAGGAGACTTAATTTTACTTTGAATATCTTTACTGGTTTGTTTTTTTGGTTTTTTTTTTGTTTTGTTTTCGTGTTTGCATTTGAGTAACTGTTTTAAGAAAGAAATGCCAATATAAACTTGTAAAGCACATCCTTATTTTAAGGATGGCCTGCCTGTTTTTTAAAGAAGGCGTTGCCTGTTACCGAGGAGGACCTGAGTGAGGTGAGGGAGCGTTGATACCACTGCCACCGCCCCGGGCTCCTCTCCGGCTCCCCTGGGATGCTGGACTGGCTCAACAGGAGGGCGAAGGCCAGCATGGCCCAGTCCGTGCTGGGAAACGTTAACATTTTGTTCTTGTTAGTCCGGAGTGATGCATCTTTTTTTATATTGGTGTACACTCTTCCTGTGTATCATGTAAAATATAGTATAAGCCTGTGGCAGATTTAATGTTTGTAAATATCTTCTTCTTTTTTTTTTTTTTTTTTTTTTTTAAAAAAAAGAAAAGGTGGATTTTGTTTCAAAAATCTAAATGAGCAAGTCTTAAATATATCATAAATATATCACCTTATAGAGGTGTTTGGAATATCACTCACTCGGGTGCAAAGGCAAGCAGACACCCTCAGACTAGATACGTGTATGGGACAGGCAGATAGAGAGCAGCTGATCAAGAAAACCTAAGAAAAGGGTTCCTTTTCCTCACTCCTTTTTATTAGAACACCAAATAAAACGGATATTTCTCAAGGCACAGCGCCTTGCTGAGCACTCATCTTAGTTAACATTTCAGACCATTGTTATTGTGACATGCCTAATATGAGTGATAAAAACATCACGTGGTGTTGAATCTTCCTATGTTTTATAAACTAGAGTGTAGTTTAAGAAAAGATATCTTCTGTAATAAAGCTATCTACATGCAAAGTTGTAGTTTGCAAAAATGATGTATTTTTTTTGGTTAACGGATTTGCAATAAATGATGCTTCTGGGCATCTAGATTTTACTAAAACTGGAACGTAGTGTTTTTGTTACGGATTGGTTGAAATCTGGGCTTGATACCCGCTGTCTTTGAGTCCTGCCAGGCTGCCTCTGGGCACCAGCACTTTCCTAACCTCTTGTTCTCTGGGTTAAAGCTCAGAGACGGGGCTTTGGGCAGTGAAACCTTCTCCTTAACTTGTGCAAAGCTCTCACCGCCTGGTTTGAGCGTGGCTCTCAGCCAGGAGGAGCTCTGTCCTGGTCACCCCTGTGGATGCTCTTCTTGTCCCCTCAGGCCTCTGCCATCGGGTCAGGATCTAAAAGGGGAAATGTTGAAAAGTTGTTTTAAAGAACAGCATTCGCACGCGTTCGAAGTACTGCATTCTGTCACTTTAAAACTTTGTTTTCTGATCAGTTTGTTGGTTTTTTTAGGAGCGTTCTCTGGCTGATGGGACGGCCAAGGGTAAAAAACAGCCACGTGCTTTTAATTACACGGTGCCTATGGAAACAGAGCCCTCTACGAGCAGCGGTAAGAGTTATGTGTAGTGTTTCCTACCTCACACACAGCACTGAGCACATGGCTGGGCTGCTCAGATGTGGTGGTTTGCAGAGATAGGAACTGGGAAGCCACCCGACGACTCCGCCGAGGGGCAGTTTCCCTGAGTGCCACTCCAGCCACAAAACCACGGTGCAGAACCATTTTGCTGTCCTTGCTGCACTCCAGCTTTTTAAGGCAATTTAATTTAATTCTTTCTCTTCCCCATAGGGACTCCGTAGTCCAAATGCAGCTACAAAGTCCCCAAATACCTAGATATAAATAGCCAAGCCACGGACCTTCTCCCAAATCAGATAAGCCTGGTAACTCCTGGAATGCTGGTATTTTCCACTCCACGGCCAGGGAGGGAGTGGGCATGTGTGTACACGTACCTGGTATCCAGCCCCAGATGGATTCGGGGCCACCAGACATTTGCTGTACAACGGGGTCAGAAGCTGGTGCTGCAGCAGTGGCATGTGATGTGCCACCCCGCAGCAGTGACACTCAGCACTGCCAGAGGTCGGGGAGGCGATGTGCCAGCGTGCACTCCCCGCAAACTCCATGAAAAAGGGTATTTCGATCCCTTTTCCCCCTTCAAAATGTGGCATACCAGTGAGGATCTGGTTATCCCAAGGGACACCCTGGAGATGGGCTTCCTGAGACGTGCTTTTCCCCCCAGCTGTGTCTCGCTGCCTCCCATCTGGGGTACAGTGAGATGAAGTGTCTGCCTTCCCCACGATTCACACATGTGCTGCCCATGAATCACGTCTGGGAACATCCAGGCACGTTCCCATACAGCCCATCCTTCCAGGCTTCTCCCACACATACGTGTCCCAGCGCTCGTGCCCATGGCTGGCTGCAAGCACCGGGCTGCTGGTGAGACTGGGAGATGCTCCTGCCAACGTGAGGCACTACCAAGGCGCTCTCCTATCTGTGTGCAACACTCCGGTCACCGCCAAGGCGGGAATTTGGCCTGGAATTGGTCAAAAAAGAAGAGAATTATGAGGGTGTGCAAAACAACGTGACGTTGCATAAGGCAACTAAACACATTTAAGAAGTGAGGGGCTACAAAATGTGATTTTCCATGAGGATGGGTCAGAGGGACAGAAGGAGGAAAGAAGGGGCTAAATTCCAGGGAAAGAGGCAAATCAGAAATGTCTGCATTGGCCTGTGAATAGATACCAATAAATCGACCACGAGGTAAATCAAACTAGAACTCAGAAAAAGTTTTCTGAGCAATAGAGGAGTAAGGATGTACAGTTTAGTTTTTAAGTGTTTAGCCCCCACTGACTCTTGCATTTATGAAGGCATCTGGTGACCCACAAACTCCTGCCGGTCCCTTGTCCCTGATTTCCTGAGCAGGTACATGAGATGATCATGGGGTCACAGATCCCCAGCTGGGATCGAGGCAAAGTTAAATGAGAATCAAGAGAAATGGCCCCTTTCAGGCCCTCCCTCCACATTTAGGGCTTTCCCATCAGCTATTTATGCAGAAGGACTTGCCTTTCTCCAGTCCCCTCCAACCAACCCACATTGCCCAACCACAAGCTCATCTTTACCTCACGTTGGTGAAGATGCTGGGAGCTGAATTACAAGTTCTTACGTCAAGAGAAGACACAGAGGGATGAATGGGTCCCAGTAAGCACAGTTGTTTCAGGATTCCAGGTGAAAAAGGCTGAGAAGCACTAAAAACTGTATCCCATGCCAAGGGAAGGGTTCAAAAATGTTTGCGTGAAATAAGATTAGCATGGAGCAATTCCGAAGCAAGTCTGTTGATGCTATGAGGGATCGGTGCATCTCAACTATTTGTTTACATGCTGGAGGGCTTGGTTTTTTTATTCTTTGTTTTCATTATTCCTGCTCAATTAGATTGGACATTTAGAAATTGCTACTCTGTATTGCTTTTACCTCCAGGCTATCCCTGTTTGCTCAGAAAGTTGCTAACAGCTGCCTGAACCCTGATTGTGAATTGTTACTGCAGCTCCAATCACCCCCTTAAGAATGTACAAGAGGAGCCAAATTCGTCCAAGGTGTAGCCTCTCTCCAATTACACAAGGGTTAACGTGGCCGGGGTAGTCTGAATAATCACAAGGACTAAATGAGTAAATAAATAAAGCTCAGCCTATCTGAGTTGGCTAACCTGATACAGAACACTGATACTCATAAGAGAAACTCTTCTTTTAGCTGTTTTCCCAGTTTCCAAACTCAGAGAATGATCTCTTTAATAGCGAGCTCCTGGGGCAGGGCTGTATTTATTGTTGCCTGCAACCTGAAGGCTGAAAAAATTAACAAAACTTGATGGGAAAAGGTGATTATAACTTGTGTTGTACTCCAAGTAAGCAAGAGAGAAGACACACTTTGTCCTTGTTCCGCCAGCAAGCCTTTTTATTTGTAATGGGTCACTCTCAAGTCCAGAACTGGCTGCATTTGGTGAGTAGAGCAAATCAGTTAGAAATCTTCAGGGTGAAAAGGGACTGAATGTCTTAACGTGACAATTCTTTATCATCACATATTTATCAGGAGAATAGCTAAGGTGAGGTCCCATCATTACTATTTGCATTGTGTGTGTATGTGTACAGGGGTATATGAAGAGTGTTAGATATGTAATGTAAATATATAGCTATAGATGCAGATGTAAGCTGTTGATGGCATTTACAGACTACATATGTATTTTTAAAAAGCCGATCAGGCTAATTAAAAGCATGTTTCCTCAGATTACACCTGTTGGGGTAAATATCAAGCGACAAACAGGGCTTTATCTGCAATACATGCATGTGCAGGGAAATTGTATTTGACAAGCTGGTTTATAAGAATGTTTCTACAAAAGAGGGAGATGAAAGGCACTTTAAAAATCACAGCCCTGCCTCCGGTTCCCACACCAGCATCAAAGTGCTGCTTCCCCTGCTCAGACTGGGCTTTGAGGACATTACCCTGTTTTAATGATCAGATTGTGCTGATAATCGCCGTTGATTAAGATGTTTGTTTAGGTTCGTGTGTATTTTCCCCTCCAAGGCTTGTTGTTGGGTGCAGGGTGTGACAATATCTGCACAGTGGCCGCCGCCTGGGTACAAACCCCCGTAAATGAGATGCCTCCTCACATTTAACAGGGATTGCCCTTAAAAGCTTCATGTTTGTGTGAAAGAGCCCCTCAGAGGTGAGCGGGAGCAGAGAGGAGGAAAGCCTTTAGACTTGTACATAACTGATACACCATGGTCTTGTCTAAAAAGAAAAAAACATATATATATAGACAAACAACAACCACCCGAGCATACATTTCTCTGGAGAAGTGCTTTGATGAGCTTTTGAGCCAATGCACCCCAGGGAGAGCTGTGTGTACACCAGGGCCGAACGCAGGCCACAGCCTTTGGACGCCTGTAGGCCGGCATTCCACACCTTCGCATCATTCACGGCCCTTCACACAATTAAAATCCCTTCACTAATTAAGCCCCCACGGACCCGCAGGACGGAGACTTCGCGGAGGGGTCGGGTCGGGAGGTGCCCGGCTCCTCTCCCCTCAGCTCCCGCCATGTCAGGAGCAGGCCCAAGCCGGGCCCTGCCGGCGCTCTGTCCCGCCCTGCCGGCCGCCTCCGCCACTGCACCCGCCCCGGCAAACCTGGGGGCGTTCGGAGGTGCCGGTGGGCGGGCGGCGGGACCGCACCGCGGCTGCCAGAGGAGAACGGGCCTGCCCCCCTCCCCCCCCGGGGCCGCACTCCACCAAACCCCGGCCGGTGGGATCCAGGCCCGTGGCGAACAGGGGCTTGGCAGCGTGGCTCCCCTCCGCAGAGAAAGGCCTCCTCGGCGGGCCCACAACTAGGGAGGCGCGAAGACTGGCCGCGCCCGCAGGCGCCCCGACCGGGACTCGAACCGGTGACCCCATGAGTCCGCAGCCGCCCGGGCCGGGACTCGAACCGGTGACCCCCTAAATCTGCAGCTGCCCGGGCCGGGACTCGAACCGGCGACTCCCCGAGCCCGCAGACCATACTGCGCCTGCGCTATACCGCGGCGCTGCGTACGTAGCGCTATTGAGGCCGCTTCCGCCCTTACTGGGTTGGGTTTTTTACCCTCCGACGCTTCCGCCTCCTCCCGTTTCCCTTTAAAGGGACGCGGAAGGGGCGGGGGGAGCCGGCGGGCGAGCAACACAAACAAGCGCGCGCGCGGCTGTGGCGTCATCACGCGACGCGACGTGACATGACACGTCGTCGGCGGAACTCCTAGCCGGATGTTCCAAGATGGCGGCGGCGGAGGGGGCCGGTGCCGCGGCTGTGAGGGGGGGCGGCGCCCGCTGTTGAGGGGCTTCGGTCGGCGGGGAGGGGGCTGCCAGGTACCGTGAGGGGCGGCTGAGGGAAGGGGTGGAGGGGGGCGCTGGGCTGGGGGCAGCCGGAGGGCTTGGGGGGCCGCGGGTGGAGCGGTGGGGCCTGAGGGGCTGGCGCTGGCCGGCGCCGCCGTGCCTCAGCGCGGGTGGGCCGTGGGGTAGGGATGCGGCGGGGCGCTGGGCGGGC